GTAAGAGTAGATGAAGTCCCACAGGAGATGTCTCAAGCGCTGGCTCTCGATGACAGAGCGTTGAAGGGCTTTATGCTTCGGGGGCAGCCGCTACCTGTGCAATGGAAGAAGAGCATCCTCGCACTCCTCACTAAACCAGAGTGTCCCGCCGCTGCAGATCAATTACGCCGCATAGCTTTTGCAAGCCATGTTTACAAATCGTTTTTCTCACAAATCACTATGCTTCGCATGGCCGCTGACACGTATCCAGCAGGGTGCGTGCCGAGGGAGGCAAGCGACGGGCATTGTGCGGAGCCTCCGGAGTGTAGGCCCATTGGTGCTTGAGTGGGCTCAGGGCATAGCAATTGCTAATCTAGATAATGCAAAGGCTTTCGACTCCGTAGATCGTCGAAAGCTCGTGTCAGCGTTAACCCAGAAATTTCACCCGAGGGGGATCGCGGCACTGCTCCGCGTGCTACAGTCCGAGACTCATTGGATCCCATTGGAAGCAATGGGTCATAGAGAGCCACTGGCTATTTGCATGGGTGGTTGATTTGGTGAGGTTAGAAAGTGTGGGCTTGACCCCTATTGGCGGTTGGAAGGCTGCCCTCTCAATAGGCCTCATCAACGGGAGTGGGGCAACCGGGAAATTGCAAATTTAACCTTCTCTCATAGAAAAAGAGTTTGAGGGCCGGGGTCTTCGCATCAACTGAGCAAAGAGCTCTCTGCTATGCTGCTATGCTTTGGATAGGTTGGCTCGAGATCAATCACCATGCATGCAACAGTAAGAGCAAAGGTGACGATCGTGGACATGCTTGAAGCCCTACTTCCAAGCGCGCGCAGATGTTTTCAGGCAAGACAGCCAGAGGAGCTGTAGGGGCGCCCGACAGTTCCTACTTCAAATGTTCAAGGAACGCTGGGGCACGGCTCACACGAGGCTGGTGTGGAGATACGCGGGACACAAAGCGGGGAACTGACAAAGTGAAGCGCCGGGAGCGGCGGGATTGCTTACCTGCTATAGGTTTTCAGCTAATTCTGAACAACCGAATAAAATTGGCGGTGATTGTGGCATGGGGTTGGATCCTGACTGCAGGGGATAGGGCTTACTGGGCAGAAACAGAATCCGCCTGGATTGAACGCTGTGATGTGCTGTGGCCCAACGGATCAATTTGTTATCAAGGGGTAGCTAACCAATGCTGATGTGATAGTCCTGCGCCATTTGGAGTGGCGTGCAAGCGTGGAAGAGTTGTTACATGCGTGCGAATGTGCAACAGGCTGAACATCAACATGTTCCGTCTGCAGTGCTGCTTATCCAACATATCCAACAACACCTGCTTGGTCAGCCTTGCCATCCCTGGGATGGCGCTATGTGTTCCTTTCACCTGTCCCGTCATGGCCACAATGGTGCTTTTAAGCAAAGAGTACACCCTGAAGGAGAGAATGCCATACACCGTTCAATGTGCGCAGCAAAGGTCTAGCTTTATTGACGACTGAAACCAACTTGTCAAGTGTGCGTGAGAGACCTGAGAGGACATGAATTAGGGCTGCTGAAGTTTGCCCTTGTGATCCTGGAGCCCATGTGCTTGATCGGGCCCCGGTGAGCGAGCATTTGCCTGGTAAACCCTGACATTACAGCCCACGTGGGTGTCTACATGTCAACGCGGTGCCCCGACGGAGTGAATAATGCTTGCTGCAATGTTTAATGCACATGGAGGCCTCTGCTACAGAGAAGGGAAATGAAGGTAACCCCTGCTGGAAAGACCGCGCCTCCTGACCGCGCCTCGACTAGATGCTGCGCCAGTGACATACTGCTGATCAAGTGTGCGGTAAAGAACCAGCTCTTCTCCCAGGCCGAGGAGATTCGGGCCACCCTAAGTCACGGATGGGAACAAAGATTCAAACAACTGCCCCTCCCAGAAAGAAGCTTAGTCCGGGCAGACGGAACTTGGTCCAGCGCGTGACCCAGCCAACTACATGGAAGGAGGGCCTAGCGCAGATTGGTGATGGAGCCCCCCAGCAAGATCTAGTAAAAGAAAATGGACTACGTGATAGTGATCGTCCTCTTCGAGCCCGGTTACATGATTCTGTTCAAGTATACGGTAAAGCGCCTGCTCTACCTGGCCATGCAGATCTGGGCGATCTCAAGTCATGGATGAGATCAGGGGCACAGCCAGCGCGCCCGTCGTGAAGAGTGACTGAACGGGGAGCTTGATGTGGACTGGGTGAACATGATCCCCTACACTACAGGGCGTCGCAAAACCGCATGGACGAGAAGCTCGCGCTCCTTTACAGGATCAATAAGGGAACATGGGCAAGATCACCAACGAGTCCTTGCCATCCATTACCCTTCCCACATCTTCCCACGATTTGGCCGATGAAAATCGTCAAGACTGCTGCCGCATGCGCGCGAAACAATATGTCCCCCTACGAGCTCCTGCAGTGATGGACTAGCTCCATGCTATCAGCCTCCGCGCTAGATGATCCGGTCAGAGTACAAAGACAACGATGTTGACGTGGGCCTACTGATCATGGCCTTTACAGGGTTCTGCCGAAGAACATGGGCAAAGATTCCAAGTGAAATTGCGTGGTTTGCATGACCTGATGGCCCCAGTAAGGCAGGCCGCGCGGGTGCAACATCCAGGTGACCGCCAAGGGACACAGAAATTCTGGAGGCGGACACGCTCAAGTTGTCCAAGTGTGACCAAGCAACACAAACATAAAGAAATCGAGTTGTTGTGCTCGGCGCCCTTGTTCCGGAACGAGCGCACCGTCGGCCAGGATCTAGCCCTCGCTGTTCTCAGTGGTCTCGTGGCACTGACACCGCAAGGTCTGCGCCCTCTCCGTCGGTTGAAGGACGCTTGTGTTCATGTCCTTGGCTACAGCCGCGAGTGATCATCCAAATCGGTCCTGCTAGCGGTTGCGCAGTTGGCGCTCCAATCTGTTAGGGTTTACGGGACGTTATTAACCATATGACTCCAAGAGGCCCTCCTCAGAACGGGCAAACAATGGGTCTAAGGTTCGCCGGCAGGGATTGCGGCTATCCAAGCTGGAGACGCTGTTGAGCTCAAGCGAATGCCCCCGCAAAGGGCACCTCTACGAGTACAATTAGGCGGATGGCAGCAGGACGGTGGCAAGCGGAGAAAACTTCCAGACTTCGTCACAGACTCTCTAGCTGCAAGTGCGTGTGCAAGTGGAGGCACAGGGTGGTGTGGTGAGGGCCAGTACCAACCAGAGGGTCGAAGTGGGACAAAGGCGGGAACAAAAGGGTGCGAATGCTGGGGCATACTGAATTGAAAGGGGCGTAGATTAAGGGGTACAAACAGATGATGTGCATGATGTTCCTGAGACTTACATAGAAGACGTGCCAGTCCTGAAGCTGTGGACGTTCTGAAAGAACAGCAAAAACCTCCTGCCGAGCCGCACAGACATCCAAAAATCCGAGGGGTTGAAAAAACTTAAAGCAGAACCTTTTCGTGAATCGCTTAACCCCAAAACATGCACATAAACACCCTACGTCCCTGGACACTGTAGTCCGCTGATTCAAGGCCTCAAATCCTGAGCTGGCAACTAGGCACGCCTGGATTTGTACGCAATGGGATTTTGGAAAGGATCTAAACACGGTTTTTTACGTCGGCATTAGCTACGACGAAGTGGGGTTCTTATGGTTTTCCGTATTTGCGATGCAGTTTGCAAACCATGGCTTCACTCTACCTAAATATTATTGTCAACCGGCTTCCTTTGTGGCCCCAGAAACATCGATTCCATACTTCCCCATGTAGCAAAGATGCCTTCGCAATGTTTCAAAGGCCGTGCCCCAAAACAAATCCCCTGGACTTCGCAATGCTTCAAGGGCCGTGCTTCTGAAAATTCCCTGGAGTTGCTTGACGTTGGGTGTTTAGGCTTCAGGATATCTGGTTTAAGGTTCTGGAGGACCTCAGGGTTTGGGAAGTAGGGATTATGGCGCAAGGTTTCTTCCGCTACGTGCTAACCCCCGAGCCCACGAATGTTGAAGGATCCTGGCTTACAGTAGGTTCCTGTGTGTCGGTTCCGGCTACCTTCGTGAGCGGAAATCCATGTATCCCAAAACAGAAAAAACAGCAACCTTACACCTTGCACGCCAACGCCAATCCTGAAATTGTGCATTTTTGAAAAGGTAGCAGAAATCTAGGCTTTGCGTCAATGCTGAATGAGCAAGCCTAGACTCCATGCGTTAGTCCTTAATCGGTAGCTCCGGAAAGCATGCCTGCACAAGATCTTCTCCAAATGAAAAAACACCACATGCGCTGACCAGCATACAGTGACCTTTCATCCATCGAAGCAAAGTTTATCCCCCAAGCCCAATGTTTCTCTCGGCGAGGCCGAGTCGTCTTGGCGATGCACCAAGTATCCTGCCGCGTGCGCCGCCACCTTCGCCAGGCCTTATTCGGAGTACTTTGGGAAGAAAGGTCTGGTGCTCACAAGGCGGATGGAACACGCTACATGCCCGGAACATTCGGAATGGCAGCCAGAAGGGTACTCTTGGATAGTGCAAAATGTCCTCCTTACCAATGCAAGATTTCCTCCATCAACAGTCTTTCCAGGCTTCGAGTTTCATTGGTTATATGTCTCGGTGGTTGCGAAGTGATCTGCTGCTGCTGGTGGTGGGGGTGGTAGTGCAGATTCAATTGAAATCAAGAAAATTTCATAGCTCAGTTCGTTAGAGACCATGAGGACTGCTGTGGGACCAATGTTGCGAGTATCAAATTTGCGGCTTTCTCTTCTGTTTAACACTAACTGCACGATGGCCTTGCGAAAGTTGGCTGAAGTGAAGTGTTCAATCAGATCCGTAAAGTCTCAGGCACTCAAACTTTGAAACGCGCGATTGATGAGACTTGGAGCCCTGACGCCCCGACCCCATGACCTTCCTCCCGAGACAATTTGGAAACATCTGAGCTCCAAGAATTTGAGTAAGGTTCAGGACCCTAAAACCACCGCCAGCCTTGCAGCTCAAGCCTTTCCAAATGACAGTAGCGGTTTCACAGGCTGAGGCCCGGCTGCCCTGGCACAGGGTCCGCACCATCCTCCAGGGCTTGGAGGTTGGAACGACCAGCTGTTACCATGTTCAGCAAGGCTGTGCATGTTGAACCCATTTAAAAGATGCGGACATCCCGCCTGCGTGGTGGGTGTGGGTGGGGGGGGTATAGCAAAATAGAGTCCATTCCCAGCATGTGCATGCAAAAACTGGTTACAGCATTTTGATGTGTTTTTTGTCGGTGGGCATGTTTATCAACAGCCCTCTTCTGATCCGGCTCTTGAGCGCCTGCTTCCGGTTTGTAAGGGAACTTTCTGTACCTGTTTGCTCCTTGATGCAGTGGCAGTGGACTGTGGGTTTGAATCCTGTTGATGCTCGTCGGACCAGGAGGAATGATAATGAGATCGCAGATGCTGCTACGAACCCTCAACCTGGCCCAGTGCACACCTACGCTATTGATGAAGGCACTGGAAATTCAATCCAGAACTATCTTCCCGCGGCTTCCCGCAGCTTCCTTGGCGGCGGTGATGCCAAAATTAGCTACAGTAGCATTGCTCTTGGGCGTCGTTGCTGCTGCTGCTGCTGCTGCTGCGGCTTCTGGCTACGGCTGCGGAAATTGCGGTCATGGTCGGAAGGGGCATCTCAGAAAGTCCCGTTTGAATCCCCGCACCGCAGCCTTATGTCCTAGATGTCTCTGCCCTAAGAGGAGCCTGTACTTCTAGAACAGCCTGAAGAAGTACTGCTATGTCTCTTTTCATTTGTTTCACAATCTCACAAATGTGCAAAGCCATACTGTCCCCAGACGCCTATGCTATGGTATCAAGACCTCAACATCATGCAGGTCAGTCGCGCAGCAGCAGGCGTCATGGATGTCAAGGGCTCCATGCGGCAACTCCAGGCGTTGCAGGTGGAGGTACCTCCATCCTGTGCTTTCTTTTTGTTGCTTTATGATTGTTAGTTCAATTTTATAGCTCTTTGGATCATCCAGAGCCGCGTTGTTGGCATGTTTCCGTGTTTTGTATCTTCCGTTGGTTATTGCTATTACTCGTATTACTTGCGCAGTATGCATGCTCTTTGATACGAGTGTATGCTCAGCAATGTAGGTATTGGTATAGTCTGCAGGAAGCCAAGAGTTCATTAGCAAAAGTTTCCTCTCTTGAATCTTGGGCACATGGCATTTTTCTGGTGAAGCTGTGTTGCTGAGGTCCTGCGACTCACAAAGGCTTTTGAATTGTGGTGTTCCTTCTATCTTTTGATGTAGGGCATTGTGTTTTTGGAATCCTTAGCAAGTTCATCTTTCGTCAGGAAGACTCGACACAATGATAAGCTACAGACGAAACCATGAGCTACTGACATCGGAGCTTCTGTAGATACTTTGGGGCCCTTATAGTCCCCTGATTACACATATTAGCTGAGCTTCCTAGGGGTACATGTCACATCCGCTTGAAGACGCGCAATAAGACCTACTGCTCATTGTATTTGGCAATGACGTATTCGATTGTTCATGATTGCTAGTCTTGGACTGCCACGCGGTGACAGGTCCTAACAGCCCTTCGTGGTGTGGCAGTTGAGGAGGCCCAACTAGACGCTGGGATTTGGGACTTGTTGCTTTGGGTTCTTTGGGATGCTTCAATATACGACTGAAGTGCGGAGTCAGTGTTCGGTACCGAGTCCCTACAAGAGGGCCCTTTCACACCCTGAGCAGGGATCCGTGTTGCTGAGCATGCACTTGAGCTTTCAACAAAGGTGCTGCAGAAGCAGGGTTCTTGCATTCCTTGTCCGCAAGAATGACCAGCATAGGTAGCAGAGCTTCTGGAGCTTCTTGGTGCACGCTACACCCTTGGAGCCCTCAGTCTGAAGTCCTCAACCTGTGACGAGGCCTTGGCGAATTTAGAGTTCTCCGTGGGCAGCTGAGCTGTTTGTTCAGGACTCTGGTAGCAGTAGTATAGTCGACTTGCCCTATCTACCCCGAAACTACCCTCGCCCTCATTACGCGTGCCCCCCTCTGCATTAGTTTCCACGCTGTAATGATCGCAATGCGCAGATCTGGCGTGCTAGGGTGAGAGAAAGCAGAGAGCTTGGGTTGACAGCGTTGGCTTTTGTCTTGAGCTGGCAGTTCCAAAAGAAGATCGTACAAGCATGCCCTACCAATGTCATAGAACCCACTGCCCGACACCTGTCACCAGTTTGGCCAACATTTGTATTCGGGTCTTCAAAGGGTAGTGCTTGTGTGGCGGAATGGCATATGATGTGGGAGCTAAACGCATATGTGCTTGAAATAAAAGGGACAGAAGTGCAGCATAAGGGCTGAAGCTGTAGAACTGAAAGCCTCAGCATTCGAAGAAATACAAGGAATTTTCGTTGCTGCAAAACACACCCTTCACCACACTATTCTCTCACCGTGCAAGCTCCGCAAACATCATTCCCAAAGGACTCCCCGTACTGATCACCCAGCGCAAGCTTTTCAAATCCTGACCGACGCCGTGAAGCCATTTCTAGTCATCCAGACCACCAAGCTCAGGATGAGATTTTGCCTCGATTGCTTTTGCCCCAGATTTCCAGGTTTAGCTCCTGATTCTCTGCTTTGGGGGATAGGAGGAGTCAAGGTTGGAGAGCTTGAGAGGTGGGTCGGATTCTTCAGTTTGGCGCTGTTTGACTGAACCGTGGGTGCAACAACATGAGCGTAAACCGCCTTGATGTTGGCCTTCGTTGCCGGCTGTGGACGAGAGACTTTGGACAAAACCCAACCCAGAAACCACCCTAAATGGTGAGCAGCCAAAAGAAAAGCCTGAGTCAGGATCTAGAGGTGTAGCGGTGGATTGCTGAAGAAGGAATCTGTGAGAGTCCCACACATTCTCCTCCCATCGAATACGGGAAGAGCCCCTAGGTTCCTTTCTCTATCTGTCAAAGCTCCATTAGACATGTTCGCATTCGCATCTCTTGCAAGAGCTCTTCGCGTTTGGCTGGAAATGTCATGCACTGAACCTAACCTTGTGATGTGTGAAGAAGACTCAATTTTCATGGTTTTCCTCAAAATTTTTTTGGGATGTTGAAAGAGTTTTTTCATGCAAGCCACGATTGTAGAGAGAACCTCTTTGGCATTGCTCAGCAACATGCACCAAAGCAATGGTTTTTAGGCATGCGCCGCCCCCCGACTTGGACCTAGCACACTGCAAGTGATAGACATGGCCTGAATGCATAAGCTTTGCAACCACTGTTAGCTGCGGCCTGTTCAGAACTGTTCAGAGCTTATCCAGGCCATGTCTAGGTCTTGGTGTTGACAATGGCAATCATATGAGTAAATTGCAATTGAATAAGCGCGGATTTGCTGCTGCGCAAACTAACCCTGCACTTCAAGGCTCCAGTTTCAGGGGTTGACACACGTAGGCTGGCAGAACAGTTCAAGGCTGCTGATTCCAAGACATAGTCTACATGATCCAAGCACACCTGAACCGCTGCCCGCCAGACTTAGATGCAGATTGAGGTTCAGACTGTTGTTGTAATTTTCCCGTCGGCACCAGCACCAGGAATTGCGGCAATCATTGCCATGAGGGTTATTTTCGTGGTATGAATACAATGACTTTTCTGACCCCCATTCACTATGATCTTTGTGGCGTTCATGGCCGGTACAATAGCATGCCCAGCCAGGTAGATGGCAACAGAATGCTCCGAGAATTCAAGTGCAGTTGTAAGTTGAACAGCCATCATCGTAACCTCCTATTCTAAGTAGGGATGCCAGAGAGGGTTCAGGATTTAGCGTTGGTTTTCAGGTGGCGTCTGCTTGGCGACAGAGAAGCACCAGCGGAGACTGGTGGTCTTGGGCTGGTTCCCAGAGAGGCTTTGCTTTCTGACAAGCCCAAAGCCTTGCAAGATTTCAGAAAATTGGCTCTTGGCGTTCGTTTTAGGCTTCTAATGCGATGAGGTTTGGGTTCAGGGCTCGGAGTTGAGGTCACAGATTTTTGTTAAGATTTTGAGTTGAGACGCTGAGCCTGGCTGATTGTGATAGGCTGAGGCTAGGATTTGGGATTCGAGAATCAGCTGCCAGCAAAATGTTGCTCAACTATTTGATTGGTGCTCTGGCGCTAAAGCCGTTTAAACGAAGGCGTGATTATCCCAGCAGGGCAGGCTTTCATTCTAAATGAGAACAATTCATATACATAGCTTTTGCCAATAGGGGCTTGTGGCTCTAGGCTTGTACGGGCTCTACTTTGAAGGTTCGGGAGCTCTGGGTTCAGATATGTCTTGCTTGGAAGTTGTGATTTCAAAATCTCGTATGAATCAGACCAGCGCATCCGTGCGTGGACCCATTGTAGAGACTACGCTGTTTTCGCATGCCCGAGGAAGAAACCAGGAATCAGAATCGCAGCCGTCCACGCAACCATGTTAATTTAACAAGCGTACAGGAACTAGTATAGGTTGCCAATCCTTCATTCTCTAGGAGCAAAAAAACAGTTGAAGGCCGGCTGCGCGGATCCGGTCTTTGAAGAAACCGTGAACATTGCTGCCCTCTGGGACAAGGATTCGGCAATTCAATATGCCATGTCGCGCAGCGTGGCTCTGTTTGATATATCCCGAAGACAGTATTATGCGGCCCAAACATGTATCATGGTGTGTTACAGCACACCACAATCACAAAAAGGTGCAGTAGCCTCTCAGGGGGGCAAAAGGATTGAATTGCAAGGAGAAGTCTTCAAACGCCCGGATCTGCAAAAGTTGCTGAGAGGTCGTTCGTTTTTTGTTCAAGCTTGCCATGCTGCCGGTTCTTACTTCTTTGTGAGGTCCTGCTTGAGAATGAATTGAGCGTGAACCATGGTGATAATCGGCATAGAAGCAATGCTTGACATGCAATGCCTGACATGCATTTCCGTTTTAGCAGCTCCAGCCTTGAACACGGGGCTTTGTCGTTTAGATTTTGCTGTGTCCTGGAGGAGTCTGACACTGGCTGGTACCCAGGATCTCAATCAATACAGCTTTTTGAGTTTGTAGTTGTCAGCCCTGGTATTGAAGAGCCTTAAATTGAACCCTCATAAACCCAAGCCCCGCAGCCTAGGCCATAAGCCCTAACCCACAGGTATCTGTATCGATTGGCAGCCATCGATCCAACTATGTGATGGCAGCGTCGGTGGCATCTTTGTTTCTCGAGTTGATCTGGGCTTTCTCCAGCAGGCTCTGACGCCCTGAAGGAAAGAGAATTGCAAAAAGAGCAACCTCGAGAACGTTTCAAATGCCTCATGCAAAGACTGCGGGACAGATGCATTCGTCGTATAGAAGTTCCAGCGTGCTCTGTACCAACGTATTCCAAGGGCCTTGTCGAGTATTTGTAGCAGGAGGATGAGGACCGCCATCACCCCTGCCATCACGACTATGGTCTTGCAACCAAAGCCAGCCTGCACCCCTGCCCCTGCAGCTGCCAGCACCAACATCGCCAACGTCAGCACCGCAAGCACCGCCACATTTTATCCTCCCTGCGAGACCTTCTGCCGACTGCTGTGAAGATGCTTGCCGGATCGTGAGTTCCAAAACTTTTTTTCAGGGTTTGACTTGGCTTTTGCTGCGAGTGCGTTCGATAGCAAAGTCTGGAAGTTTGAAGACCCGAAACGCCTGTTTCTTACTGTTTCCCGTGCCCAACCATGTACTTCCTATCCTCCCGATGTTCTCTCCAAGGCCAGTAAAGTGACGGATCGAGCCCAGATAGCAGCTGGCCTCACCAAAAAGACAAAAATGGGCCTACACCTTAGACCGTGAACCCCAAGGATCTGTCCGACCTTCCCGTGCGAGAGCTGGCTGACCGCGTGGAGCAGGCCGGGCAATATCCCAAACAGAGTTCATAGATTTAGGGTTTGGGATTGGGCACATTGGGGGAAGGGCGTTTAGGGCTGAGGGTTTAGGGTCAAGGAATATCGATCTTGAATGCTGGAGACAATTCACACACCTGTACCGAAAGCAAAGGCTTGAATGTTTAAGCCCCACCTCCTGTGCCTTTCAACGAGCATGATTGAAACCATTGTATTGACCGGAAACTGGGGGAAACCCAAGCCCAAACCCTGGACCCGAACTTAGTTCCTAAACCTCACTGAGGTGAAAAAAGCCAAGTGCTCTGGACTTCATTGCCTCTAGCGATGCTGAAAGATTTGTGAGCGCAGCTTTGGGTGCGGGCGTGGCGGTTGTCAGGGTTGCGAATGTATTGGATTCATGTTCGATTCGCTAAGCACTTGGGCATAGGGCTTTGGGGTTTCGAGAAGGCGGGGTCACAGGGGATGTCTTCAAGCAAGGTATTTCATATAGTTCCACAAGAAAAGATGTCAGTGCTGTTCTTTGGCAATGGATTTTTGCTTGTTCTTGTCCAAAACCTCACGCCTTGCCAGACCTCCGGAGGCCGGTTCTCGTTTCATACCAGATCCTTCGTCAAGAAAGTTTCAGTGGTGTATCGCTAAAGCTTCAACCGAGCCGCGTGCGGTCGGGATTGGGGAGCCCTGGAGTGTACCACAGCCATGGAATGAGCGATTTCCTTTGTAAGTGTCAAACATGTCTCTTACCCGAAGCATTTGTGCAAGGTTCGCCCGAGGCGCTACAAGGGTCTGGAGAATGTTTCACGATTTCCCTGGAGATTTTAGTCTCGCTGCAGGGAAGGAGTCCCCATCACTTGCCTCGTACAGATTGTTCAGACCCGTACTCTAGCTGCTCCACTTGCTGCCATGGGTGTGGAGCTGGATAGCTTGGCGGCCACAAAACACCATGCATGCTACTCGGCAAAAAGCCAAGGCTTCTTGTTTCTTCGTGGTACCGGAGCCTGTAGCTTGTGATCCAGACTTTGTGTGTTGTGGCAGGATGCGTGCAGCTTACTCAATGACCCCCATAGGCAGAAAACCAGCTTTAGGCGGCATACAGTTCAACAGCTACTTCACGCCAACGGGTTTCAAGCAGGTTGCATACAAGCATTGCCGAAGCTCTGCTCTGCTACTGGCATTTTGCAGTGTGATGTTACTAAGCTTAGAGCTACACAGATTGCGCGGACAACAGCCATAGCCGCTGCACAACCCCCGCCGCCGCCACAACTGCCACCATCGGGACCTCCGCCGCCGCTGCCGCCGTTGCTGCCGCCGCCACAACCACCACTACCAACAACAGCACCAACTACACCAACAACACCAACAAGGCCAACGCGGCCGCCGCCGCTGCCCACGCCGCTGCCAGTGCTGCTATCACCATCTACCACCGCCGCCGCCGCCGCCACCGCACCCGTTCCCGCCGCCGCCTGTAATTGCTATTATCTGCTGCTGGTGCGGTGGTAGTGATGGATGCTGGTGGACGTTGTGTTTGCGGCATGTAGTGGCATATGCAGCATCAATTGTGGAATGAAAGGCCTTACGGGCCATTCCTTGATGCTTGCAGTTTCAATTGAACATGGCTTGCGGATGCATGATGGGGAAGGGCTATGCAATCTCTCGTTATTTCTGCTAGAAGCCAAATCAAACAGCAATCTTTTTTACTAGATGCATTGCAGTGGGGTCGACTTCGGTCATGAGGCAGCTCGACGATTCTCAGCAGACCTACTTTGCAAAACTGCATTGAAACTTGCTTCTCAATACTTATTCCTGCACGCGTTGCGCGCCCATTCATTTCCCCAGCCAGCAAGATTAATATTCTTGACGGATGCACGCTAGCAACGATGCCCTACGGAGACTGCGCAGAGGGCCCAGATTACGAGCACCACCACCGCCACCACCGCCACGACGGCCACCAGAACCACATCCAGCACCCCCAGCAGCGCCAGCAGCAGCGCCCGCACCAGCACCAGAACCGGCACCAGCACCAGCACCAGCAGCAGCAGCAGCAGCACCACCGCCACAACAACCACCATCGCCAGTGTTGCTTCCTTTTCTTCCACGACTGCTATTGCTTTCGTCCTGGTGCTGCTGATATAATTTTAGAGAGGCAGAGAAATATGCGAGACGGAGGGCAAAATTGCAAGAGGTTTGCATCTCCACATTTCTGCGTTAGATGCGACTTCCTAATCAGTACTTCTGTTGGAGCCACTTTCCCGGAGACGGACCTTCTAAAAAGAGCCCAATGTTCAAAACCCCTGGTTCTGAGGGAAGGAGGAGCTCTCCCGAGTATGTGTCGATCGCATCCTTCAGAGGAACAGCATCATTTTTCTCCCAGCTGATGCAGGCACCTCATTGCATTGTTGCTTCATGTTGTTCTTGTCTTTAAAGTCTTAACAGATGCGCTTATCTGCGGCTGCTGGCCAGTGAGCAATCCGCAAGCAAACCTTCCGGGTCAACATGGGCATTTCTGAGAATTTGGGCGTCACCTGCGTCCCCCAAGTCATACACTCCTAAAACAGGATGCCCAAAAAGTGGGCGTCACACAGAGGAACACCAGATGGCCCCAGACAGGCAAGCATGTGATGATGGCCCGCTGCGTTGACCGCCTCCGATTGGAAGCGGCCATGGAGTGTAACAAGGACACCCTTGGGGTTGGGGGTTCCACTATCCCAGAATTTGGATTTCCAGTATGGAGGGGTACAACATTGAATGAGTTCACTCTGCCTGTAAATGGTAAGAGGGCTTACGCCTTTGATTTGGCGGACTAGGGTTTAGAGTGAGTGTGTCTGAGATCAGAGTTCCCTCGGGACATCTTTTGAAGAACCCTGGCTGAGCTCCAGCATTTTGAGGCAGAGTCAGTTGAGGGTCGAAGACTTCAAGGAAGGGGCCGCTTTCGCTGCAACAACCCAAATCCATTATTTGAGGTTCGAAGCTTCAGTGCTAACCTGTCAAGTTCTGGGTTGAGCTAATATGCTCAAGCTGTAAAACCGCCAACCAAGATGACAAACCGGCCCAAATCCGACAAACATCAGTGATTTTACGACAGCCTGATTGGCTTGGGCCTCGCAGGGCTTTCCTACATCCCACGATCCGTACTCTAGCCCTCGATTATTTTCATGTGGCCTTACTGCATGTCACCCCCGAAATCAGCTCCTCCTATGAGCGTGGGCGCGTGGCGGCAGGCCATGGTGGTCATCCCAGAGTTGGTTCCGATGCAAACCAGACCGAATCTGTAGATTCCAGAGCCCTGCAGCCCATTTGTACTGCGGTTTGTAATGTGAGGATGTAGGCAGGCTGATAAAATGCAACACATACGGGGGGGTATTGTGTTGAGAGCATAGCAGGCTAATGGAGAATGCAGGAGTTTGCATTGTTCTCATTGTTGTGGGAAGCCAGTCAGAGTCAAAAAGCCCTAGGCCCCACATCTAAGCCCCTAAACCCTAAAGCCCAAACGTCCTGAGCCTTAGATTAGAAGCTAAATTAGGCTTCAAAAGCAAGAGAGCCTCCTGCAACCCGAAGCCTTCACCCTACACACCATGTAGCTTCTGAGACATTGTCAGGCTCTTGCAGCAGCACCTCGCGGGCAACCTGCGAGACGCTTGTCGTCAACTTCAGGTTCGGCTTGCCGTTCGGATTAGGGGTTAGGTTCAGTACCGGGGTGACTGCACTATGATGAGGATGCGGAGGAGATTGGTCGTACTGATGGCAATTTGCTTTTTGGAGCTTTTGGCACTGAGTTAAGGGTCTGAAGCACTGGGGTTCAGGAGTTGGGAGTAAGGGTAGGGGACTTATTGCTGTCAGGGTTGAAAGTTCTAAAAAGGAGTAGGTAGTGGGTTTAGGCTGGAGGCATCGAGTGTGCGCTCCGATTTGCGTCGAGTGTGCGCTCCAAATGCGTCGAGTGTGCGCTCATAGGTGTGTTTCGAAGCAGAATTTGCTGCAGTGGATGCAGATCGAGACCCTAAACCCTAAAGCCCTAAACTGTAAGCTCTAAACTCTAAGCCCTAAACCCTAATCCCAGTGCACTTAAAAAACCGCTAAAGCCTTTCAACCCGAACCCACAATCCTAAACCCTAAACCCTAAAACCCTGAAACTGTGAAACCTGAACCTAAACCCTAAACCCCTAAACCCCTAAACCCTAAACCCTAAACCCCTAAACCCTAATCCCTAAACCCTAAACCCGAAGTCCAGTGGGTCTTCTGAGCGGGTTGTGATCCTTGTTCCTGAGGAGGCCAGTGTACATGTCCAGCCAAGTGCCACAGGGCCAGGGAAGGTAGTTAGGATT